TAAAGGCAGATGCAGCAACATGAGGATTAATTATTTAATTTTATTGGCACGATTTTTTTTTTTTTTATGTACATAAAAAAGGAGAAGATAAGTAGGACCGTAGGGGTGGTCAGATGGGGCGGCTCAGTGGGGCTTGTCACTTTTGTCGCCACGGCTCCTGAAATGGAATGAACCCTCCGACCTTCCCCTCCCTATTTACCATTTCGCCCTTACACCCTTTTACTTCCAAACCTCAAATAGCTCCCGAAACCGCCCCTCCGGTCTAATCAATCAGATCATGCAACTAAACCCGTAAAATCACCAACACGAAACTGCGAGGTGATTATTTGCTTTTTTTATTTTTTTAAGAAAACACTATTTTTAATCTTTTTACTTTGTTCATATTTTAAAATAGATTCTTATACTATATTTCATACACAATATCAATCCTTACGTATTTATATGAATGTTGATGTGACATAAATAATATTAATAATATTGAAATATCAATTAATATTATTAGTTTTCTGCTCACTTGTTAAGCTGATGTTAACATAAAAATTTTAATAAGAAATTAAAAAAAGCCAACATAGAATTTGTGTATTTTGCTAATCATTTAAATAGTTAGCCTTTTTATTTCATCTGATATGTATTTTTTAAAAAATTTTGCTTATTAAACAATACATGCTAGTATTCATTTGACATATAAATATAAAATTAACAGTGTTAATTGATATATTAATATTATTAACACCATTTGAGCTATATAAGTGTCTCTATAAAAATATAAAAATCTATATCAAAATTTAAGTAAAGTGTAAAGATTAAAACTAGTTTTTTATCTTCTTTTTAATTCTATCATATGATATTCTTAAAAACTTGTAGGTACCATTACCACCCACCTCAACTATTTTAAATTTTTGATGTGTATGTTATTATGAATAGTGGTTTGAGTATTTTAATGATGTTGATATTTATATTTTACCATAAGTGCATATTTTGAGTCTCGAACTTAAAATTTTAAAATAAATTAATTTTATTTGTTTGATTAGTTGAATCAAGTTTCCTTTTGTGAAATGTGACTATTTTCAAGATTTGTTCAATTAGTTAAATTTTTTCATTTTATCCTTTATATTTATTAATTTAAATTCTTATGTAAATTTATTTTTCACTTATCATGAACATGAAGTGTATTGATAATTAGGACCATAGGTAAAAAGAAAAAAATAATATATATTTTTATGAGAATGATACTTTATTGATATGTAAATTTTTAAAAAAACTACTTATATTTTGAACCAAATGGAGCATGCATTAAGGAAAAAATAGTTCATACTTCATACTCCTTCCGTTTAATTATATTTGTTTTTTAAGGATAATATGCAGATTGTTTTTGGGACAATGGTTATTACACTTAGATTACAGAAATGTAATAATTATGTAAAAAATAATATATTTTACCAAATTTACCCTTAATCTAGTGCCTCTAAAAACGTAATACTCAATCCATCCTAATTTATAAGATATAAGTCTCATGATATAAAACACTTTAACAAAATTAAAATTTTATTAATAATATTTTTTTAATATTATCCTTCTCATATATTTTCTCTTTTTAGTACCTCTTCATAAATGAAATATTAAATAAAAAATATTTTTAAAATTTATATTTATATTTTAAAAAAGTAAGGTTATAAAAAATATTTAATAAATTTTAATAGTATATCTAATTTTACCTAAAATTATTTTATAATTTGAGATGAATGTAATGATAAATATTAAATTACTTTTGGGGTAAAATAGAAAAATATTATTGAAAGATAAATAAATAATGAAATGAAGGAAGAGTATGGGCGAGAAAAAAAACACGGAGGAAGTATTAATTAATATTAATAGCTGATGTTCTTTCCGCTGTATCCAAAAAAATATTAATAGCTAATAAAGTAATGTAAAAATATGTATGGGGGAGTTGAATACGAACTCAAATTGCAAAAGGACCATCTGCGGATTGGAGCGAGGTTTTAATTTGGAAGCCTTGGGTTTGATCCAAAAAGAGTTAATTATGACCCTCGATCATATCAATTAAATTACCCTCATCTCACGAAACGTGAAACATGATTGATTTGTCTCACATACATATTTTGATTATTTTATTTTATATTTATTTTTTTTAAAAAATTAATTTTTTAATCTTTTAATTTTTAACTTACTTATGAACCCATCTTAATTATAACTCGCTGTGATTCAATCTTCAACTTTTGACCTACTTATAACTTAATTTCTCAATTTTTATTAGTTTTTTTTAATGTTAGTCTAGATCAAACATCAAAAAGCAAGAGGGCGTATTTTAGAATAATATTTGAAAATTTATTTTATCCCTCTTATTTGATACGGATAATTTTAAAAAAAATTAAAAAATAAGGACTAAGTTACAAGTGAGTGAAAAGTTAAGAGATTAAGTCGTAATAAGTTATAATTGAGAGATTGAGTCATGATAAATTATAATTGATAGATTAAGTTATAAACTAGTTAAAAGTTGAAGAACTAAAAAATTAATTATTACTTTATTTTTTATTTCATTTCATCCTTATTCTTTTTAGCAATTAAACGAGTTTTAAATGTGAGAATTTCTCTGTTAAATTTTAGTTAGGTTATGAAAAATTAACCCTTTATATTAGATATATTCTTAATACCACGAATGTCATTGATCAGATGTGAATGTGTCTCAACTGAAAGCACTCTTTCAATAAGGCGTAAAAATTCGCAGTTGTTAGGCAGGGATCATCAGCTTCATTCTTTTAGTTATTTTTCTTTTATTTGGTATGGTCTGCCGTCATAGCCCATGTATTCTTTTAAAAAATACTAATTGTTATCTTGGAAATTATATTGTTTAGCGAAGATACTTGAATTGAATTACGAAATAATTATATCTATCTTTTTTTTCCCCCAAAAATAATTGGGAAGAAACAGTGAACAAGATGGCTTCCATGTGAAGTCAGCTGGATTTTGTTTCAGGTTCACTGTTCATATCGTCCCAAGGACACCTCACATACTTTCGGCACGTCTCTTCCTTTTCTGCTTTGCACACACATATAAAAGATAATAAAACATGTTATAGCATACACACAAACATTTCTTATAAACATTATTTCATATACTAGCAAGCACTTGATTCAACCTATAAAAAAGTTATACCAATTTGTAATTAAAATTCTCAAATTCGAGCTTTAAGAGTATATCAATATTTGGTGGCAGCGCTTTTACTTAAAAAGATCTCAGCTCGACTTGATTTGAATTAGACGGGTTTTGGTTTTGTATATCGAAATAGTTTACTGAAAAATCAAATAAACATGATTTCATATTCGTTCTTCGAGTATGTTGCTTCGTTTTGCCAGACAAACACCCCTTATTATAAGATTCCTCCTTCTTTTAAAAATATATTATACAAAGGATTATTTAACTTTATAGCAAGCTTCCAATGATTGTCCCAGGCAACTGATGAACAATATATATATATATATATATATATATAAGAATGCTTGCAAAGATTTAATTATTTTAGGTCAGCATTACGTATAAAGAAATCACGGTTTATACCAATTTCCAATTATTGTCTCATGCAATGCAGAAGAGTAGAAAATAAAAAAAAAAAAAAAACAGAAGAAGAAGCCTGATCAGATGCGGGGCTGGCTCAAACTAAAGTCCCTTGTTTTTTTTTTTTTGGGACGGCAAAATATAGCATATCAAATTTTACTTTCAAACTATAAAAATATGTTTTTACATCTTACCAAACTGTATATTAATTTTTTTAAACAATATATCAATTATTAAGAGATAATTCTAGGGTCTAGCGGAGGATAAATGGTAAAAAGATAATTTTACTTTTAAATTATAAATGCAAAAACATTTGAAACTCTAAATTTTGTTGTTTTTGTTATATGTTTATGGGGGAATTTATTATTGGTTGTTTTTGTTATATGTTTATGGGAGAATTTTAATAAAGACTCTTGAATTAGATTTATTTAAATTTGAAGCTCTTAAATTTTTAAAATTTTATTACAATTTTGAGATATTAATTTGATATTAAATTTTTGAAGTAAATGACAAATTGCTCCCTCATTTTAATTAATACAAGAACTTCATTACTTCACTTATTAATTTACTCATGAAATATTATTCATTATCTATTTAATTTATTTTTATTTTAAATGTTTAAATCATCTTAAGACAACTTATTAATTTCTATATTATATATTATTCAATTATTTACGAACTGTTGTTGATTACCCAACTTTCACTTAATTTCATTTTAGAGAAATAAACAAGTAAAATAGAGTAGTTAATAATATTTTATAAATAAATGAATAAATTAATTAGGCCAATTCTAATATTAATTTAAATGAGTGACAATTTTATTATTTTTTTAAAAATTTAATATTAAATCAGTACTATTGCAATGAAATTTTAAAAATTTAAATTTTTTGAATTTAAATAAGTCTAAATTAAGGATCTTTATTGAAATTTTTTCTATTTTTAATCTCTCAACATTTAAAAAGTAAAAACATTCAAGCTGGAACCTCAAGTAAAAATGTAGGAAGTTGGATAGTCAAGTACTCCAAGAAAAAATTTAGTCTCAGATTCCCTGGAACTATAAGGTTAAAGATAAATCATTTTAATGTATTACTGCAATATTGTTTTTTTTTTTTTGGGCCTGGAAACATCAATATTGTTACCATTATTACACATTTTTATTTTTTATTATATCCGTCTGAAATTAAAAAAAAAAGAAAAGAAATTATTGCGAGGGGAAAGTTACCCTACAAGTGGTCATCTTGGCATGGCAAATGGCCATGATTGTTCGTCCTCCAACAACGACACGAACACGTCAGAGACGCCCAGGGGACAAGAAATAGCGAAATTTCTCCAAATCCACATGGGCACTGCCGTAATTTCTCAACGTGAAAAAAAAAATATTGATTGATACGCGTCTCTATGAGGTCCATATTCCATCGCCAGTGCCGACCTCACAACCCCTTCAAATCCCCGTTTCTCTCTCTCTCTCTCTCGCCCAGCCAGCCTCTCCTCCACTGTCCTTTGCTTTCCTCTTTCTTTTCCTTCTCCCCAAACCGAAATTCCCAAGTTTCTCTCCGTGTTGCCTTTTGCATACATCGAAGGGAAATCATGGTTCAGATTCAGAAGACGGAGAAGGAAGAGACCGAGTTCAAGGTTCCTGAAACAATCACTCCCTGCGTCAACAACTGTGGTGTCACCGGTAATCCGGCCACCAATAATATGTGTCAGAAGTGCTTCACCGCCACCGCCTCCTCAGCCACCACTTCCTCTACCGGGATCGCTGCTCCTTCTAAATTTTGCGACGACAAAAGTTGTAGATCCGCTCCGTCTCGTTCGCCCAAGAGGTCGCACCCTTCCGATGAGGAGCCGGCGCAGAATCCTTCATCAGATCGGACGAAATCAGACGAGATGACGCCGTCTGAAGCCAAGCGGGTGGTGAATCGATGCTCCGGTTGTCGAAGGAAGGTAGGTTTGACCGGATTCCGATGCCGGTGTGGCGAGTTGTTCTGCGCTGAGCACCGGTACTCCGATCGACACGACTGCAGCTACGACTACAAAGCCGCCGGACGTGAGGCGATCGCGAGGGAAAATCCTGTGGTGAAAGCGGCCAAGATCGTGAAGGTTTGAATCTGCAGAAACCAAAGGAATCTGATAGATTATTGCTGCTCAACAACACGATCATCCACCGTCTGTACGCGATCGAGGTCCGATCCCGTCATTTCTCTCTCTCGCAGGAGATATAGACATGTTAGCCGAACATCAATGTTTAGCGTGTGTGAGACAGGGAGATTGTTGCCGAAGACGATTCGTTCCCCGTGAAATCGTCCGTGTTGGATCAATCTATGATCATTTTTTCTTGATTGTTTTACCTTTTCTTTTCTCTTTGGTCTTGTTTTGGGTTGATAATGATAAATTATTGTGATTTACGGCTACGACAATAGTCGTCTCTCTCTTTGCTTCTGATTTTTCAGGGTTTCTTCGTATTATATAATTTAATTTTAATTTTATCTTCAATTTTAATCTTAATCAGTTTGCTTGTCACTTGTCAGACTTCGGAATAATCGCGGCGGAGACGGGGGCATGGAAAAGAAAATTTGTGGAAGTTTGCGGGGTTAAAATCGTCATTTGATGTGGAGATTGTACTTTGAAGTTTGAAAATGAATTTTCGATGATAGTGATGATAGAGAGGTGTGTGGGACCGCCTGAGATGAGATGAGATGAGATGTTTTGGCTCGAGAGATTCGTTCATGCAATATAGCGCGCGAGATCGTGAGGGAGGAAGAGAGAGCGATATTTACTACGCGACAATGACAGGCGCTTTTCTAACCAGTAAAGATACGCCACGTATGGACGGCCCGCGTGAGGCGGCGAGTGAGTTGAGTGAAAAGAAGGAAATCAGGATTTGGATGAAGTTTTAGGGTGTCAATTTTTGTTTCAAATTAAATCAAAAATCAGAAATAAAAAAGAAAAAGGGGGAAAAGGAACGTGTAAATGAATTAGGGGATGGCAGGAGTAAGTGGGAATCTATAGGATTGTCGTAATCCAACGGCTCTTATTAAAGGTGGATGAGGTTGCAGATGCAGACGGGGACCACCACTTGTCGATACGGAGAAACAGCCTGGGAAGAAAATATTACGCGATAGAGATATAAATTATCTCTGCACGAAGCTGGTTAAAATTCACGCAAAAATATTTTACTGAATTGGTGAATGCAATGGTTTAACTGAATTCTATTCTGTTCTCTTCTTTCCTCGATACGGTTGTGAGAAGTAAAGATTGAAGTAGATTCTTTGTGATATCGCCCCAGCAATTTCTGTCAAGGAATTGAGTAGAAGGGTGTTCGCTTTTTCATAACTATTTATTAATTCAAACAGGTTAATCTAGTTTTTAATACTATAAAATAGTTGAATTTAATTAAAATATTAAAAATTAAATTGGTCATTAAATTTATCAAGATATTAGATTAATGATTAAAATTATAATTAAATTATAAACAATCTATATATAAATGAAATATTTTATTGAATTGGTCTATATATAAATTTAAGGGTGGAAATAAGCTAGGTCGGGGCTTATTTTAAATCTAACTTAGCTTATTTATTAAATAAGTTCAGGTTCATACTTTTCATTAAATTTATTTAATTAAATAAGTCACACTTATTTTTTTAAGTTATAGCCTACAAACCCGACAGGTAATCTACATACATACATACATATTATACAATATATCTCACAAATACATCAATTTCATCATTTAAGTTTTAATCAATCTATTCTTTTTTTATTTTTAATTATATTTTCAATTATATTGAACTTATATATTAATTTTAATATTTTTATTTTATTATTATATTGTATTATAGTTGGCAAGTCTTTTTAATTATTATATATTATAAAATCAAGTTATATATATTGTATATTATAATAGTCTTAAAGTATATTTAAAATGTGTAAAATTAAAATGTGAACTTATTTAAAAGGTTTACTTTTAAGTAAGCTTTTAAATAGACTTTCAAACCAGTTTTTAGATAAGCTCAAGTTTGCGCCGTGAAAAAAAGTCTCCCCAATTTACGACACATACTTAAATTTATTTAGCCAAAACCTAGCTCAACCTGCCTGTTTCCATCCCCATATGCATTGGTTTAATGATTAACTAATTCAATTGGCTGACATGGATTTCGATATTATAGTTTTAATCCTTAATATGTAAAATTAAAATAAAATTATACAGGGGTCTAGTACCTTGTGAGGAATTTAAGGTGAATTTTGATGCAAGTGGTTTTTATAACTATATATATATATATATATATATATGTTAATTATGACTTTAATATTTGAGGATTGAGCAACTTAACTTTGAACCCGGATTTCAGGGAAAAGACAAGGAGGGTGTACGTGAATATTATTATTATTATTATTATTAAGCGCTTGATGGGAAGCATCGTATCTCTATGCGTTGATATTACGTGATATGTTTTCGTTTACTTTAACGCATAACTAGTCTAGCACGGGATGTTATTTTTAAAAAAATTCATCTAAGTGTTAAATAACAAAATCAGTACATATTAATATTTATATAAGCAAGACAATTAAAAAAAATTCCTTGATGAATAAATAATATGTAATAACTCGCAATAGTAAACACATATTCAAGTAGTCGAAATAAGACTAATTAGGTTAATATATCTTGGAACAACATTTTTCACCATTGCTTCAAACTTTTTACAATAAAATCTCGCTTCACCAAGGACAACTTCTTTTATTCACTTCTTGCAAGAGTTGTAAAATCATCCACGCTCAAGTCTCAAACCTGACAAGAATAGTAATAGTTAGACACACCCACAGATATATATAGTGTCTTGTAATGTTAATGTATATGTTAATACACATGCAAGAACAAATTAATTAAAAGTAGAATTGATAGTATAGGTCAACTTATGGGTTGTAAGTTTTGTGAGGTGAGTTGACATAACTTACATCTTGTGCGAGTTGTAATTTTACCAACTCTCACAACCTGCAACGGGTTAGCAAACATATTTTTTTATAATTTTTTAAATTTTAAAAATTATAAATTTATCTCTTTTTATTATTTTTGTAGTAAAAAAATCATATATTTTTTCTAAAATTAATTATCCAAATAATTATAAAATTCATTTTAATCAAGCCATACTTATATCAACACTAAAATATTAACTAATTTAATTTTGTGATTTTTTCATTCTCTAATCTTTACACTTTGCACAAGTTTCTCTTTTTCACATACACAATTTCTTTTCTTTTCTTTTCTTTTTTTTTTAAGATTTTAGCATTCCTCAACATTGAGAGAACAGAAATGATTGATCTAATTAATTACTAAAAATGGTTGGTAATTTCTAAATAAGATCTTTATTTAGACAAAATAAAAATATAATATTATGATTTGAGATATTAAACGCATATATGAGTGGCGTGTTTTTATTATTATTTTTTTTCATAATTTAAATTTAAATTAAATAAATATATAAGTGTTAAGTATTTAGATTGCAATTCTATGTACGTTTGCTTTGAATGCTTTAGTTTAAACTCAATTTCATTCATTTATTTTCTATCTATTTTTTTTAATATAAGAAGGCTAACCTGCCAATCTAGTGGATTAGTCTATTGTAACTTCAAGTTATATGATATAGGCCAAAAGCGTCTCACATTTAAATAAACTCATTTTTTCTAATCTAACCCACCACTTTTTTGCAGGTCACAAGTTCAACCCATATTATTAGCCTTGTTTAAAAATGGACAGTCAAAAATTACTACTAAATAATCAAGTAACTCGTCCATACACTCATGAACTTGAACGCTAATAATATTTTCATTGTAGGACGATGATGGATATCCACAATGCTTGCGAGTTGTTGGAACAAAGTTACATCATCGAACCTAAATGTTAAATATTAAAACCAAAACTTTTGTAAAAGTTAGTCACTTGCAATCTTGAGAGTATTAAAGTTTTTTATTATCAAATATTTTTAAATAATTATTATGACTTACGAAACATACATAATTTCATACATATAAACGAAACTATTTAAAAAAATGCACATTAAAATTATAAACAAAAGAATTATACATTAAATAAATGAGATTAATGTCATTTCGAACTAAAGAAATATTCACCCATTGTTTAAAAAAGGAGCAGCCGAACAATTGCCAATATTTTTTTTTTAAAAAGCATTGACATATTAGATTAATATCTAAATAGAGTAATTGCATTAAATAAATGAGAGCATATATTGGAATTGACTTCATGAAATATTACAATCAAAATTTATCAAATTAAAATTAAAGCCCACAGAGCTATAAAGGGCATCACCTCCGATATAGTTAGGTGTATGAGAGTGGAGGAAATCTTTTGAACACTTAAAATGAGCACATCACAAGGCTAGACCATATAAGGCCAGAGTGTGTTTTATTAAGAAGAAAATCAAGCCCAAGTGGCAACAAAAAAGCATGTATGAATATGATTTTTTTTATTATAGAACTCACCATTATATTCTTTTATCTTACACTACTACAAGATAACAATAATCACACCTACATCTTGATTAGGGGCGACATAACTCACATTTTCCTCAACAAACGAACTCCACAAGGTGAAACTCAGATGATTCTCATTGAAAAAAATCAACATAAAACAAACAATACAAATACATACTCATGAGCAATTTACGAAGATATGGTAAAGTTAATAAACATACTTGGGATCCTTAAGCTCCATACCAACACTCTTTTATTGCTTTTCATCCTCATCCAATTCCCATATTTTACCCAATCGTCCAATGGCATATGTAAACAAAACATCGTGTGCTTAGATGCAATACCTACAATGTCTAAGTTATTGAAAACAAAATTGCTTAAAATACCAGAGATGAGAGATCACCTATTAAATATTTAATAGGATGAAATTAAAAAACCACATTCTTAACCAAATAAATTTGTATTCAGTGTTCCCAATTAATCCCCTGCCATAAAATATATATGATATCAATTAATTGTTTATATTTATATTAAATTTTAGTATAAAATGGATCAAAGTAAGATTGCAATAGAGATAGTTATTCTATACAACCTACAAAATCAATTAAAGGAATTTTTAGATTGGGCAACTTAATATATACTTTAATAAATTATTTTCAATAAATTTTCTCATCTAATACTATATCAACAAATTAGATATGTAAAAAAGGGGGTGCGCGCGCACATATATAAAACATACACATAGCTTTGGCCAAAAGAAATGCACAATTCAAATACTTACTTATTATAGGATAATAAGATTTGACATCAATAACTTGATATCTTTATCTTATTTTCTTGATATAAGGGCAACATATTTAATATCCTATATTAATAATTTAAAATTAAAAATTAAAAATATTCAAGATTTCCTTGTTATCAC